TTCAAACCCGCCGCCTGCAGTCCCTTCTCTTGTCACTGCCCTGTATCCCAGCCATCCTCAACATGTCTCGCCCTGCCTGGAAATGCATGCACATGCGCACTTCCTAGCATAGATTACCCCCAGCTCCACAGGCGGAATTGCAAGCCTTTGAAGTACAATTCATTTTTGATGGCTAATAATAGCCATCAAATGATGTTTGTGACTCATGTTAGAATCAAAAGAAGACCCATTTGATTCATTTAATGAGTCAACCAATATTCACTAAGCCTGGATTAGCAATTGCTAACTACTGTAACAACAAAACCATAAATATATGATGGCTAAAATATGATAGATTATTCCTGTTCACATAAAGTCTAAAATTATTGCTCAAAAGGGTTTTTGTAGATTGGGGTCAAGAAGTGGCATTCTTCGCACATTCCATCTGCTAGAACTCGGTACCTTGCTCACAACAAATTGTAGAGTCTGGAAAGTGACCTAGCTGTGTGACCAGAAAGAAGAAAAGAGTTTGGTTCGTAGCAAATCCATGTCAGCAGTGGCTTCTAGAGTGGAAGGCATCCTGCCGTTAAAAACAAAGTTCCTATTAGCAGAGGCCTGGCCTTGGGCCCTGAGAAAAAGTTACTTACAATGCTCTCTATTCTTGGCTGCGCTCAAAAAACAAACCTTCCATCTCCTCTGGCTCCTCTCTCAATCACCTTTATACTGGGCCAAAGATATTTTTCAGGCACATATGTTCAGATTTTTTCCCATTGGGTTTTGATTTTACCCAGAGTCACACATGCAGGAAAGAGGCACGAGCCAGAGCCCAGACTCTACACAGGAATGTATTTCTGAGCATTTGCTCCTGCGGCTGCTCATTTGTCCATGCCTGTCTCTCCATGCTCGTGCTTCGGGATGAGGACAGTGCCTGGGGGGCCGAGCCCCTCTGCTGTAAAAACATCACGAGGAGGCACACGGATGGGTACCCACACACAAGGTGTAGCCGCACCTCGCGTTCACGCTTTGGACAGGGGCTGCCCTCCCTGACCACGAGTGAGGCTCTATTTCCCCTGTTCCGCGTTACTTCTAACCCGAACCATAATCCAAAAGCTAAGGGGTATGAGGTCTGAACTAAGAAAAGACGATTCTCTCAATGCTTCTGTCTCTGAGTACGACTCTCTCGGACAAGCTTGATTCCTCACATTAGACCCAATAAGTGGAAACACTTGCCTCTGTTCCCATTTCCTTGTTTTTCTTGGGCATATAAAACGAGGCATAATTTCCTTCTGTATAGCTCTTACTCGACTGTAACACAAATTCATAGGTTAAACGAAAGTGTCATCTAGAAGCCCTATCGGTTCACACCAGGAAGCAGCACACATGGGATCTGCGGGCTGAGCGCACTCGCGGGAGGGCGTAGCCGCCGGCGGCGCATGCGCACAGGCCTGCCAGCCCAGGCACGGCTCACACTGCGCAGGTCCAGTGGTTACGGCCCACGCTCGGGGCACTTTCCTGTTTTGCCAATTATGAAAGCCTTTTTTAGTACAGCATGCCCTGACTTTTTGTTTCTTAGCACTGTCTTCAAACAAACATATAATTTCTCATTTCACTCTCTCTGCATCTCTGTTTTTTTCCTTCTTAGTTGACCTCTGTAATTAAAGTCAGACTCGTTCATGTGACTAGAAGCAGACACAAACCTAGGCATGGCATCATATAGCAGTATTAACTTACCAGGTGATCGTCCAGGTGACCTAAAATAGACTCGTAATTTTTGTTGCTGTTCTGGTTATTGTTGTTAGTTGACTATGAAAATCAGAGCTCCCAACTTGAAAATTTCGAACAGGGAACTAGCAGTTCTTTCCTCAAAAGAAATCTCCCCAACTCACCAGGAAATCAGACAAATCAGTTACAGAAAAACCAGAAGAGTGTAATCTGTTGATTCTCGAACCTGGCTGTGTATCAGAATTACCTATGAACTTGTTGAAAATAGAGATTACAGCTTCTGTTCCAGAACAGACAACTTTATCAGCAGTCTGAGCTCTGTCCTGGAGAAGCCTCTGCTTGTGCATACTGGAATGGGATGGTTATACACACTGGATGAAACTGTCTCCTTGGCAACCATGATGGAGTAAATCAGAAGGCACCCGAAACCATCTCATAGTTGCCTTGTTCTTGGGGTAGGAAGAACTTTCATGTCCCAAGTCAAAGTCGTGGCCCTGTGTGCTGGTTTTAAACCACCTGAGATTCAAATGTAGTGGATCTAGAATGGGACTCAGTATTATATACAAGCTTTTTCTAATAGATGTAAGAGGTTGAGTGGTTTAAGAAACGTTATTTTCATTGTATATTTCCACTGATCATAAATACTTGGGTTACTTTGTGATTTGTCTTAACAGTGGATCACGAAGGTAATAAGAAACATACAAGTAGCTTGTGCTAATGACAGCCCTCTGGTGACAGGACAAAAGGCCATTACTTTTGAGCAAAAGCTCAATATAATTAATTAAGGGCTGGATTTAATTCAGTGACATTTGAATTTTATAGCTATACACTTGCAGCTATAAAAACCACCTTTATTATTAAAATTCCTATAGGAAAAATAACTTAGTAATTGTGAGTCTGAAACTCTCTGGTCCCTAACCTACTTTTCTCCATTGGCACAGTATTTTTTTATTACACAGTGAGGCGACTTGTAGTATAGCAGGACAGATTATGTTTTTAATAGGTACCCTGGGAGTTCTGAGGCAGCCAATCCACAGACAAGGATTTGAGATCCCCTATAAGAAGCACTGGACTTCAGGTCAAAATCTAGCGTCAAGTTTAGCCCTATTCCTTGCTGTTCTGTGGCCTTGGACAATCCATGGAGCCTCTCTGAAGCTATGTTCCTTGATTACATAAAAGAAATACTTCACCTGCCTTGTTATGAAAGCAAAAACAAATTCAGATAACGCACATAGCACACCACATTCACACATATATTCACTTACTAGATGTTTATTGAGGACCTACCATCTGTCAGGACTCAGTGGTAGGAATGAAAAAGAACAAAAGAGATGTGATCCCTGCTTTTATGGAGGCTACGTGGTGAGTGGTGGGGCACAGAGAATACACAAATAAATTACATATTCTGATGGTTCTTTGCTTATGAAGAAAATAAAGGTGGTGGTGAGATACATAGTGACTGGCCAGGGATAAAGGGGTACATGCTTTAGATGGAGTGGTTAGGAAAGGTCCCACTAAAAGGTGCTACTTGCCCCTGAGAAACGACTGAAGAAGACAGCCATGCAGAAGTCTGTAACTGGAGGATGGCAGGGAAAGGGAAGAGCTGTGGTAAATGAGCTGATCTTTCGGAGAAAGGGAAAGAAGGCCAGTGTGGGAGCAGTGATAGCTGGGGAGTGTGGCCTCAGTCAGGGAGGAGAGGAACACATAGGGGACATGGCTGGTCATAAAAAGGAGATTGAAATTTTGTTCTAATCGCACCGATAAAGCACTGGATAATTTAATCCGAAGAGTTACATGATCTGATTTGTGTTTGAGAAAGATCACTCCAGCTGACATAAGAAGAGACTGTAGTGAAAGACACGTGGAAGTGAGACCAGTTAGGCTCTGCAGCAGTCCATCCAGAGAAGGTGGCAGCGTCAGATCATAGTGACAGAGGGGGGCCCGAGGCTTAGATTTAGGGTATAATTAGAGTTCAAGCTGGAGAGCTTCCTGTGGGTAGGGAGGCAAGGTAGATAAGCCAAGGTGTACTCAGGGTCATTCCAGCTGCATTCCCCTATTCTCACCCTGCATTATTCTTAGAAACTGTAGTACCAAGTCACTCATCTTCACATCAGCTCATACATAGTCTCAAATATATGGAATATAGGTGAAATAAGGGAAAAGACCCCTAAACAGTCACAACAGATATGGAGAGCCTATGTACATCTTCAGATCTTACTCAAGTTTCTGCCTTTGAACATAGTTTTAATGAGCTTAATAACCTAGAGCACAGTTACAAGGGAAGAGGGAAGAAGAGAAGAAAGAGGGGCACAGGAGGCTGTGTGACAGGGCAAGCAGGAATAATGATAAATAGATGAGGGAGAAAACAAAAAGTATAAAAAACAGGTTAAAGTGTTGAATTGAATTATGGTTTTCTTCACAGTTAATGAAGGCACAGCAGAGTGAATACCATCGTAGCGTGTCCTGCCTATAAAATGGTTAAAACTAAATGAAACTAAAATAAAACTCCATTTGGCTTACAAAGAATTAAGCATAGGGTATATAAAAACGATTTCATACCATACGACCCAGGAATTGCACTACTGGGCATTTACCCCACCCCAAAAATACAAACGTAGGGATCCGAAGAGGTACATGCACCCCAGTGTCTATAGCAGCAATGTCCACAATAGCCAAACTGTGGAAAGAGCCAAGATGTCCATCAACAGATGAATGGATAAAGAAGAGGTGGTGTATATATACAATGGAATATTATGCAGCCATCAAAAGGAATGAGATCTTGCCATTTGCAATGACATGGATGGAACTGGAGGGTGTTATGCTGAGTGAAATAAGTCAAC